CAGAACGAGGTTAGGAAAGATTGCATGACGAGCCTAAAAAGAGCGTCTGCCGAGGAAGCTGCGGAAAGCAAGTGAATCCACCGGTCTACATGAATGCATTAACAATCACTGAAAATTTCTTCACCACATCTTCATCGAATTTTTTTTAAAAAAACAGTGATGTAATTGAAGAATTTCCGTGGCAACTGTTAACTTTATCCGAAGAATGCTACACGTTGATTGGTTAAGTTTGGGGGTGTGTTGGTTGACGTGTCACCGAGCACTCTCGGTCAAACTCTTCCCGGCCGGTCGAACTTTTATCACGACAAGAAACATGGCAGCGGTCAAGGATTGTAAAGATACTTTGTGCTTGTTTGATGTCGATGGAACTGTGACTCCTGCCAGATTGGTAAGCTAAATTCTCCGGATTGTTTTGTTTGGGGCAAAGGGGCTCACAGAAACATAGTTTGCGAGGTCATTTTGTGTACAAAGGTCTCTGTAAATAACTCGAACGAATATTGTAGGTTGTTACTCCAGAAATGAAAGAATTCATGAAAGAACTCCGTAAGAAGGTTGCAGTTGGTTTAGTTGGAGGTTCTGATTTTCCAAAACTTCAAGAACAGATGGGAGGAGAAGATGGTGAGATCATATTGTGAAAAGTCATCGGTTATTAAGTCTTTGTGGTGAAAATTCTTCGTTTGTCAAGCTATGCTCATAGCATGAGCTGGTACATGCATAGTTCTTTTATTTTATCTTGATCAGTTCTTGTTAATACCAAAGATGTTGTGATCAACTGACCCTCTTCTCTCCTGATTTCTCAGTGACGAGTCTATATGATTATGTTTTTCCTGAGAATGGCCTTGTAGCTTACAAAAATGGCGAACTCATAGCCACACAGGTTAGTTTATCCTTATTTAGTTTGTTTGCAATCTGTGCTTAAGTGATTCGAAGTCGCTATTTTTACCCCAACTACAGTCAAGCCCCTCCTCGACAGCCACCTTGGTGACAGAGAAAAGTGAATCAAAAGTGGTCGTTGTAAAGAGGTGGCTGTTATGGGGACGTAGGGGTGCTATGTGACACATTTTCTTGTGGGGGTTACACTATTTGTAGTTTTAAAAACTGCTAATTGTAGCACGCAACTACGAAACATAATCAAACAGAGACCAATAAAGCACTTTACAAATCAAGCTTTTTGGACTTTTACTACAAAAATGGGGTTTTGTATACACTGTTTCTCAGCTATTGATTAACTGGCCAGTGTTGAGAGGTTATTGTGACAGCTCTGGGATGCACTTTAGTGGCCATTGCCATTGTGGAAAGGTGGCTGTTGTAGAAAGGTTAAAATAAGAATGAATGTATGGACCATCAGCTGGGACAAACGAAAAGTAGCAATTATAGAGAGGTGGCCCGTCCTGGAGGCTGGATTATACTCTTCCCTATTCCCAGTGGACCCACGTGTGGGGACCTCAATTATGTTATACATGTATATGATGCTAGAGAACATCGCAGTGGGGTATTCAGGGCTCCAAATGTGGACCCCATTTTAGGAAGAAGCTGCATATACTTAAATGATACTCCATTCTAGAAATAGGCCAATTTTTAATACTCTTTATAGAAGATATATTAATGGCTTTATGAATACTCTGTAATTGCTGCTGATACTTTGAAGTTTGTGAAACATCTTGAGCATGGATACCCTGTTTAATTTATAGATCAGGAATTCTGAAATCACAACCCTGAGCAGCAGCACATATCGTCATACTATAGGTAGATTGTGGATCAAAATAAGGAAAATAATCTCGAGGACCTCTAATATTCACATGGAGATTAGCCAGATCAGAAAAATCCCTAAGAGATGGCTCTGCAGAGATCTCACAGGAAGATATCACAGACAGTTGTCACAGACTGTTGTCTTTCTACTAAAATGAAAGAAAAAATAATAAACTAAGACTTGCCCAGGGAAAATTTGAGAGCTGCTTGTCCAAAGGGCAAGCCATGATTCAAGTTTTTTTCAAGTCCTGAGTTGACTAGATCTGTTGTTAAATGTACTTTCTTTGTTTCAAATTTCTGTGTGTTCCAGGGGTGTGAGACCTTGAGGTGTGTATTTGGATCTGTGCTAGGCATCTATGGTGTAATGTATTTAGTCAGGAACTAACATTGTGTTTATGTGTTGTTTAAAGAACATCAAAACCTTTATTGGTGAAGAAAAGCTTAAGACTTTCATCAATTTTTGCTTGAAGTACATTGCAGATTTGGATATTCCTGTTAAGAGGTACATGTAATTTGTATGTTTGATAATTCTTAGTACATTCAACATTACAGTAACTGTAATTTTTCTAATTTATCAATTTATTGCAATATAGAATTATATAAATATTTAACTTTACATGTAATTAACTAGTTCAGCTGTATTTCTTGGCGGTGTAATCTACAAGGCTGTAGCCAGAAAGAATTGTGACTGAGGCTTTAATGTCCATGAGGTATTGAGGTTGTTTATGACAACTAAGAACAATGAAAAGGTGCTGTCACTTGACCTATGATACATATGTTTGTGTCATTAAACCTGTTAATAAACATTAAACCTGTTAATAAAAGTATAATGGCCATCAAAGGAAATTGAAGTAACTAAGTCGTTATCTCATTTGTATTTTAAACAGTCAGATTAAATAATTTGTGTTTGAGAGTTCCTTTGTGTCAAACTCACCTAGCATGTATCTGTTGGTTTGTCTTTTCTTAACTTCAGAGGGACCTTTATTGAGTTTCGAAATGGCATGTTAAATGTTTCACCCATTGGGAGAAACTGCACACAAGAGGAAAGGATAGCATTCTTTGAGTATGACAAGGTTTGTAAGGAACCAATTCTGTCCAAAACACTGTTTGGTGTTTTCAATAATATTAGATGTTTACCAGACCCATTGTTAGGAAACACTTGTTTGAGAGAAACCACAATCATGAACTCAACATGACTTGTGTGTACATGCATTTAGCTCTTGTCAAATCAAAAAGGGTTGTTCCAAGTTCTTTATATACCGGCATTTCTAATTAGTTATCCACCCTCTTGAGAGTATTGAGTGGCAAAATGTCCTTCATTCCCCACCTCCCCACCTCCCTCAGCTGAGAGAAATTGAAAGATGGAGAAAGAAACCTCCGCTGGGAAGTAGAATTTGGGGCACATCTTTTGCTCCTGGGAGTGCAGTCCAACAGGACTCATAAATTTGCTAGGAACTGGAAAAAAAAACGTTTAGAAGAGTAGTGGGTTTTTTTAATATTACAATGTAGCTTGTGGCCAATATGATTTCTAATTATTTCTGACAAATCCACTGTAAGCTTGTTGTGTGCCACGCAACAGCTCTCCATCTGCATGCAGATATTAGGGACTTGTCAGAAATTAGCAGGCGGAGGGGGAGTGGGGTGGAGATTTTCAGTTACCGGTAAGCGATGAAAATAAAATGACCCTTCCAAGGTAAGGGTCATGAAAATGTCCCAACCCTCCCCTGGAACTTGTCATAAAATTCCATGACCCTCCCCTGGATAAATAAAATGTCCAAATTTTATGACAATGATGATGATTAAATGGCAATGGTGATAATAACATTGAGGATGATCATGATGGCAGCACTACTGATGGTGATGCTGTCAAAGAGGTCAATTCTTGTGAGTGATATCTAACAATAATGTGCAAAAGCAAAGCATGAGCTGTTTTATAAGTTGGGCTGTTGCATTTATACTTTCAATAGCTCGTCTTTTTAATATGCCAGGAAATAATTGCATGCCTTGATTTTCATACATATTTTGTTAATTCTTGTAAAACAAAATATTAAAGCATCCCTTTATGATCATGATGGCTTAATTTCTTGTGACCAGGCTCTGTCTTTTCCTGTCATTTTTTTCATATCCTAAGACAGTATTACTGCTGCATTACAAGCTGGGACTGAAAGAGTTTAAGATTTCATAGCCTGAGGTATTAACCCTGAAGACCTGAGTTTTGGTGTGTTCACTTTAACACCCATTTTGATAGATGCTTGAAATTTAGTCTGAAGAATTCTATACTTGTCTAGTGTCATAAAGCTTGGCAGAGATGGATATTATTGCAGTATTGTTGCTGAATTACTTCATACCCACACAC